TGTGTTTTTAATACTCTTACATACTTGTGTAAAGCTTCTCTGTTACTACAAAAAGTTACCGAACCTAGAGTGCTTATTGATTGAAATTGCCTCAGTTTTCACTGTAGGCAACTTTCACAATAGATTCATGATTTATCATTTTGCAGTCTTACAATGAGTCAAAACTCCAATATTTTCAGTGCCATGCATATTCAAACTAAAATAAAAGGTGAAAATCTCATTTAAACCAGTTACTAGATATATTTGATGTATTTAAAAAAATTCATTACCATTGATTTTGTCATGAATTAGGAACAAGTCAAGGTACTAAACACCGTTTTAGCACCAACTTAGTCATTTTGTACCCTTCAACAAATTTGATACCTTTTTGAATATTTGAGCAATTAATATTGAAACTCTACTACCAGTAAACACTTGATTTTGATAGCTTTTCTTAATTTGTTAAGCTAGCAATAGATAACTAGCTTAAGCTAACATTAGCTACATGATAAGGTTGAAAACATTGTCACTATGGGACTTTTTGTTTTAGCTGACTTGTTTAAAGAAATTAAACCAATACATGCACTTGATGACACATACATACAAGACAAACTGGCAGCATCCTCATTGGTTTCATACAAAAATATGGTATAACACTTTTATTAAAGCATTAAGCTAGCCAGTCCTGGAGAAACAGAAGCTAGCAAGTAATGCAACCTTTCTGACCTACAGACACAATAATGTAGCTAAATTGTTTAATGACATATTCCTTGAAGTAACAATTGTGCTACTCAGTTAAACGTATCGGAGGTTGCAACTCATGTTAAAGATAAACACTTGGTTAAATTCATTACCAACACTTTTCCTCTCGCATTCTTGGGTTTTAAAAAGGCAAGTAAGACTCCATCTAAGTCAAAAGGCTCAGCTCAAAGCAAAGTCCTGTGTTAATGTTGAATTACAAGTTGTTTATCGATTCATTTTTAACAGAATCACAAGGCAAGTCAAATGAGCAGAGTTAACTCATGCAGTCCAATATAAATGCGTCCAAATTTAAAGCTCATTCCTCATTCCCACTCACTGACTGGAACATGCTGATTCAGAAGTACACTGTATGGAAAATGATGAATCCTGCAGACAATAAAAGTCAGAAAATAGGGTGGCTGGGGGGGTAGAAATATACAGTGTGATGCTTCAAACTCTTCCAAAGGGCTAACTATTAAAATCTGTAAAGTTACAGATGCACACCTTGCTTCTTAACCTCTGCTAAAATAATTACAAGGCTGTTGTCACTGCATTATTCTGTGTTTTCCCATTAAATTGCATGGCAGTCTAAAAGGAAAGGTCACTTTTAATCTCGTTTCATGGTTGTTGAGTGAGTTGAAAAGCTACCGGTTCTCTTTCTAACCTTATGTAAGCCGTCTATCAGTCCTACTTTCGTCATGTTTTTATTATCAGATTTTACTGCCATCATTTATGTTTCCCTCTAGATTTGATCACCATCCAAAAAAAACTCAACTAACACAAACAGCACACTTGAGGAAACCAATTTTGCATTGTGTATGTCAAACTAGACTTCTCGTCTTTCTCGTGTTCATTTTCCTTAAAAATATTTGAATATTGTCACCTTAATGATCGTATATGTATTCAAACCATGTATACAACAAATGGAAAGTTACATAAAATGATCAACCTGATGACAAAATGTTCTCCAAAGCAGAAGATCACAGTAATGATGGAGAGGGGTATGTTAAGTGTCAAGCATCAACTATCAACTCAAACTGAATATTAATAAACTGAGCTGTTTTGTCCCATTATCACTGTAACACTTTATTTTCTGGTTTCGACAAACAGTTCAGTTCAATTTGGTTTTGAACTTTAGGGTTGCATTCGGCATAAGCTCTGCCAAATCAAGCATGCGGAGCGTCCCGCTGTGGTGACCCCTTGTGAAGAGGGAGCTGCCAAAAGTAGCTACTACATTTAACAGGGTTCTATCAAAACACAATCTACTGAAGTTGTTCATTAGTTATGATCACTAGCATGTACAGCACTGTACATCTAAAAAAAAGAAGAAAAGAAAACGAAAAACATGTCAACAATAACACAGTTTGACTTGAAGAAAAATAGTATTTTTGTGCCACCAAGGTGATTCCCAACGAGCTATTAGCCAAAAACTTTGTATATCTCAGCATGGTGTGCAATTTGAAACAGAAACTAGACAAGTGGAGATGAAAAGAAAAAGTAGTAAGCCTAAAAAACAAAAGAAAACCCATCTTGAACAGTATTTGAAAACAATATTCTTCAGTTGGTCCATCTACTGTTAGAGGAATTCCAGTGTACACAAGAACTGAGCTTAAAAGCAGTGGCAAGAGGACCTAGAGAGTGACGAATCTTAATATTAGTACATTAATATGTATAAGGGAGATAGGAGAGAGACACATCAGTGAGCATCTACAGCAATCTGTAAAACACGGTGGAGGCTTAGTCATGGTTTGAAGCTGCATCTCAGTCAGTGGTGTCGGAGAACTTGTAAAAACTGATGTAAATATGAACACGCAAAGTAATGTCAGATTTTAATGCACCATGCAATATCGGTTTTGAATGCAGCTGATTGGCTACTGCTTCATTTTTAAGCATGGAATTGATTCCAAGCATATGGACAACACAGTAAAAGCATACCTTGATAGAAAAACACACAATGGACACTGTCAGTCATGGATTGGCCTCCAGTGTGAAATCATCTTGACAGAATGAAACAAAAGGCAGCTAAAATCTAAAGAAGAGCTTTGGAAGACCTTCCAGAAGCCTGGTGAACTTCCTAAAGAAAGCTGCCTAAGTGAACTCAGACTACCAAATATTGACTATCAAGCTTTTTAGAATTGTACAAACTGTGCTTTTGATTTATATACTGTATTTCCATGTATGTTTGCACATTTCAAAATGCACCTATTTCATAAAACATAACAGACAGTTCAAGACTTTTGCACAGTACTGTGAATCTCTTATTAGCTTATCTGTACTTCGCTAGCTTCCATATTTGTTAGACAAAGCTCTTATGAGAGTTTTTGTTTGAATCAAACTTTAAAAACTGGTGCACTTGAGAAATACAGCAGGTTCTGCAGAAAACACATTAACATGCAGCAAACAAATACTACTTTTCTCAGAATGAGAATAGCCATTATCCTACAAAATGAAAAGCCAATACACTCAGGGGGGTTTGTTGTAATAACCTCACAAGGCCTAATACGACCAGAGGCTTGTAGTAGTAGCTAGTAGTTGGAAGTATCTTTTTAAAATGAGCAAACTTTTCTATTTGTTCTAAGTTCCTGTTTGAACATTTCCCATGATTTAATGCAAGAGTAGTCAGAACATACAGGTTCTGATTGTGTAGCAAAACTCAGAGAACAGGGAGCGAGCAGATGCTGAATACCTCCAGCCTGCAGGTAGCCTTTCTTGTCTTTAAATTATACACGCATTGGCTGGGTATAGTGTTTTGGTGTTGGAAGAATAAGAAGAAAAGTGTAATTATAAGCTTTTTTATGTATCAAAGTCAACTATTGTAAATCGTCGTGTTCAAATGTTTGTTTTGGGGGGTCTTTTGCAAACCTTCTAGCATATATTTTCTCTTCAGTAGCAAAGACGAGAATTGAAGCTGGAAGCTTTGAAAGCTGCTGGTGTTGCTAATAACCAGTGAACATTCACTGAATCCCACGTGAAGACACTGAATGTACCACAGCACCAAACTGCTGACACATCATCATCATCACAGGCTGGCTCTAACCTTCAATTGACCAGCTCCAACAGGGCCGACTGGAGGAGACTTGCTCCCCTTTCGTCTCGAATTCATGGCTCTGTTTGACTGAAAGCACACTTAGGTCAGGTGGCAGTCACTTAAAAGATTTTTTTTAAAAACTGCTTCATGTGGCATTTTGTTAGCCAACACGACAAAACATAACATATTTTAGTGTGGTGTCAGCATGATGGGGCAAGATCATGTACCAGTTCTGAGTAGCACTTATTGCTACTGTCAGATATAACAACTGGACTTACTTTTTTATTGACCCTGGTTTGGTGGATGAAAAGTAGAAGGGAAGCTCGTCAAGTTTTGGAGCAGTGGTACGAACACGCAAGCAGCAGGAAAACCTTTAGGTATCCAAAACCTTCCTGTAAATGTCAGATCTTTTGCTAACAGTGCCTTTGAACCATCAGTGCAAAACCCACCTTTTTATCTAACAGCTAACTGCTTATGTGCCATTATTACTCAACCTACAAATGTCACACATTTCGATATTCTCTGAAGGTGTTGAAAGGTGTTATCAACAAAAAAAGAAAAGAAAAGCTCCTGTTTGCACCGTTAGAGAGATGCACAAAAAAAAAGATTTCTGTTACCATGAAAAAGAAACGGAAAGATTCCTCCAAAGATTTATCACCAAACTTCCTGCTGTAGTGGGCGGAGCTTGTGTGAAACAGCATGTTATTGCTAAAAATACCTTGAAGCTTTATTGGGATCATGTAACTGTTGGTTAATCCCTGGATTTGGGACAAGCATTAATCCAGCTCTACTCTATGCCTCAGCTATGGGGAAACAACAGTTGTTGTTGGTGGGGTTTTTTTCTTTTCTAAAGAACCGACCGCAAGCAGCTGATGATGTAAACATTGTGGAGGATGTGAGGTTTGCAGAAGTTGTAGGGGAGCCTTGAGCCTCAGTGGGGAGTGCGCTGATGGTTGCTAAGAGTTAGTTTGGTCTGTCTGTGGGAGGAGGGAGGGTGTGTCTGCAGGGCCCTGATGCAGCACCAGAGATTTGACAGCTGTGTTTGTATCTAACAACAAACTGTGTGGCGAGTTAAACGGGACAAAAAGCGGACTGGACAAGAAAAACACCCTTGACGGGTTCAAGGGATATGGGAAATTAGATAAAACAACAACACGTGAAAGCATATCCACGCAGCTTTTTGCAGGTTCTCGTACTAAAAACACACACACACACACACACAACTATTACAAGCGGAGACAGTTGGACTTACTCGTTTTTCACGCATCTACTCTCGAGAAAGACTTTATCCAGAGGGATCACAGCCTGTCCGAGGAACACGTCCAGCCCAATAAGCGCCCTGTGCATCACCGTCAGGATTAGCTCGCAGCTCCCAGCCGGGTATCCGCTCTGCCCGCCGCTCTCCAGCACACCGGGCTGCAGCTCGAACGAGCACTCCTCCTTCCACTCCGGCTCGGTAGTCTTCTCCGCCACGCCGGTCGAGTACTTCTCCTTCCCGAGCTGGATGATGGTGTACACATCGCTGGTGCCGTGCTTGCCCTTGCCCCGTAAGCCCCTGCCTCTTAGAACCGTTACCTGGACGTGTGTCGGTACCCATTTCTGGTCCTCCGGTACGTTTAGCGAGGACATGTCCGTCCCCCACCTCCTCCCTCCAGACAGACAGAACGACAAACCGACCGGCTGCGCACACGCCGAGAGAGAGAGAGAGCGAAGGGAGGTGGTGGTGTCCGCCTCTTCCTCCCGGTTCTGGTTGTGCACAGTCACATCAGCTCCGGGGTCGTCGGCGGGCGGTGCCGCATTATGGCCGTCTGGCGTCTCTACAAAGTTGCCGTGGTTGCCGGTTGTTTCGTGCCCGGCTGCTCCTGCGATTCTTCAGTCTGCTCTGCGGCAGCAGCAGCGTCCGTCCCTGCCTCTCTCCCCCTGCCGCACGGGCCTGTCTGCGGCCAGCGACGTCACGCCTCTCTATCCTCCTTCTTCTAATGCAGGACGAGGAAGTTCAGCGCCGACTCGACACATGGCTGCATGCACAGAGAAATCACACACACACACGTGCCTGGGCTGTAACGTAGGGCCCGATGTATCCCCTGGGTGAAAACTATTATTCAAGCACATCAACAACACTCCGCCCTTAACCTGTTTGTCTGAGTTACAAGCTGCACAACTACAAAGCCAGACGAAGTTTCCGTGACAGCGGATGCCAACATAACTCCACCACAGCACACCAGAGTTATTAGAGTTTCCTATTTTTTTTATTATTATTATTTTGAGCTCAATTTAACTTTTTGGTTTTTAATTCAGTTTAGTTTTTTGTTAGTTTCACTTTAATTTTAGCATTTTAATTTTAGTGTTGTGTGAAATCTTGGCTTTGCTCTGATACCAAGTAAATACAGGGCCAGTATTACTGATTCCAATTATGATATGCAGTGGAGAGCAGTGTGTCATGATTTATCATTTATGAGCTGAATTTTCATTCATTTTAAAATTCTGAACACATTTTAATGACCACTCAATCACTTTGAGGTTTACTTTACCAATAATTTGTTAATACAAAAAAGCATCTTTCAGTTGTTCATGTATTTTGAGTTTTAAGGAGACCTACAACCAATCGCGTCGCTCTATTATCAATAGAACACAATGAAGTGGATTAGTCCTAAATATCAGATCTTTCAGCAGATTGTGTCGTGGATACTTAAGCCTCCCATTTAGTGTTAAAATTTATTGATGTAGAGACCAATAATTTCATTCAGGGTTTACAGATCAGTTTGCTGACTGTTGTTTGACCACTTTTCCATCACTTTTATCTCAGTGTAATTCACTTCTATGCTATATTGTTTTTGACAGACTGTGTCTTTATCCACGCTGGTTGGTTTTCCATCACTGATCCATACAATGGGCAGATTGTCAGTCATTTATGATGATTTACAAATACTTTGTCTTAATTTGGATCGAATAACTGCAGAATTACATGCCTTCCCGATCATCCACTGTGTTAGCAGTATGCTAACACTTAGCTTCACACATCAGCTGGCAAGCTTATGAGTTCAAGTGTTTTATGAAGACCTTTGGTTAGTTTTTCACAAACAGAGTATAACATTGTGTTTCTATTAGCATTGTGTACTTGTACAGAAGACCTTTGGGTATCTGTAATGATAAAAAAATATAAAAGCCACGTTGTTTTAATCAGTCCTGCAGGCAGGATTTCCCCCATCGAAAGTGCCAAAGGTCATGACATTAAGTCAACAATAACTGGCATGTAGGTGACTACACGGATATTATTGGCACATCCTGTGTCACATGATGGTTTCACCGTATTTAATGTTTCCAGAACACAACCGCAGATTATCACTTCTTGAAGGCTGTTTTTTCTAATGACACAGTTTGGCATAAATGTCAGCATATTCTTTCTCTCTGTAACAGGAGATGCACCGTCCCTTACTGAGTTCCCAGTCAGAGCTTGCCTCATGTTTACGGCATGTTTTAACCGATTGTGGTTGCTCATGTCATTTGTCAGGCTGTTTGCTGTTTACGGCTTCACATTTATGCCAGTTCGTTCTGTTTTCTTTTGTCCTGTGCAGACTTGTGGTCCTCTTACCCGTCCTCCACACTTTTCTCTTCACCAGTCAGACCCCCATTTGCCTCTTAGCAGCTGTCACTGTGAAGAAGACTTGTTCCCTGTTGACTCGCCTGCTTCAGTCCATCTGAACTGACTTGACCTGCAGTGGAGAAAAACGCCATGTGACCCAGGGTCACATGTGAGACTGAGAGTGGCTGATGCCCATTAATGCTGTAGTGCTGAAGTGCCCATAACTTGCATGTAAGAAAGTCTAGAAATATCTACTGCCAATCACATCTTTTTACTGATGAAGTCAAAAGGTTCATTTATTTTAATTAAGAGTAATTATCTTAAACATTTTATACTATTTCTGCCTCCTCTGCTTCCTAGCCAGCGTCTCAGACTGGCTCAAAGTAAGTGTCAATCCAATATAATTTATCTAAAAATAAACCAGCAAAACACAAACGCCAAGGTTGATTGATGCCAAGTCGAACGAAATTGAGAACACAACATTGCACATCTTGGCCAGCTCATATAGCTTGGAATGCCCAGGTGAGCCAATTCATGACCCTCCCAGGCAAGTGTTAGAAAGCACAGGCCAGAACAACCTGCAAGACAGTGGGAGGAGCATCACATCTCTTACTGTCTTTCTTTCTTCTGCGTGTGCCACAGTTACAGGAGTGGAATTTGCTGTGCAGGACTCGTGTGCCAGTTACCGATCATTTGCAATTTTTTTTCTTTGTGCGATAAACACAAACTCAGTCAGAAGTGGTCTTTTCCTAACATCGCCCCCAGCTTTCAATTTTCACACTAAAAGCTTATCCTCAAAGTAAATTTAAAGTTTTTCTTCCATAACCGTCATCTGTTTATGTACAGTGCATCTGGGTTCTTAGTTTTATGTAATCCCACAAACAAGTCCAGGACTGTATAGAAGAAGAAGCTCTCTCAATTTCACCCTCGCCACCTTTGAGATTGACACTGGTTCAGAGCTCATATAGATCAGTATGAGATCATTCCTACAGTATGTAAAACTGGCTGGTGTCATATGAATGAATGTGCAGGAGTTGTGACCTAGAGACACTATTATGATGAGTAAGCTCAAATATGGAGGTATGACACATCCTACAAAAAATCTATTTCACCTAATGTAGGGATTAGCACATGACGGATGATGCAACA